ACTACCTGTTGCAAAAATGATATGAGGTAGGTACTATTATTATTCTTCTTATAACTGGATACCAAAGCTCAGAGATACAAGTAATTCCCTATAGCTAGAAAATGTTGGAGGCATGTCTATTTAATTCCAGAGCTCTAACCTTTAACTACTGTACTCTGTCTGACATCCAAGAAGAACCTGCACCTGATCTTTACTATCACAGTCAATGTTAACAGAGAAGTTAAAATGTTTCACTGGCAGGGATGGGCAGGTAGCTCAGTGGTAGAGCATTTACCTAGTATTCTGGAAGCCCTGGGTTTAATCCCTGGTTTAAAAGGAAAAAAAAAATCTCACTGGCATAATAGTAAGATTATATTCCAACTCCCATCTTTTTAAAAAGTAACTTGATATCTTATTAAGTAGCAAGATACATGCTCTTGCTAAAGAAAAAAGAAAAACAGATATTCTAAAAATTTAAATAGTCTTTAAAAGCCAGAATATTTACTACCTTAAATTGGAAATACCTTGAGTAGACAATTAAACTGGTGGTTAGTTTGCACCAGAAAGCACTACAGATCAACTATTCTAAACTTAAATTTTGTTTATATAACAACCAATCTCATAAAATAAGTTACCAATGTAGTTACATTGGCATCCTAACCAAAAATGGTTTATTTTGAAGAGTACATAAGAAAAGAGCATTGCTCAAAACTGGAAACACTGCTGTTTCAAAACTACCCTTTGATTCAAACTGTAGATACTTATTCAGCCTACCATATTTAGGARAGAGTCCTGACAATGTTCCTTGGGTTTCACAAAAGAATACTTCTTCCTCACAGATCAACCTTTTTAAAAAAATCCATTCCCACCTTTTTCATTAACTTCCATTTTTAACATTTATTTTACTGTTTTGTGACTGTATTATGTGTATAAACTTTGTAAATCCTGTTTAGAACAAAGCAGAAGAACACTGGCATAAAAAGATTACAAGAGTTTGCTGGGGATCTTTAAGGATCCTTTATAGTATTCAGATCCATTTAACACTCTGGGTAGAACTAAATATATTTGGTTATTAAAAATTCAGTATAGCCAGGTGCAGTGGCACACACCTGTTAATTCCAACTGGTTGGGAGACTGAGGCAGACAGATCTTAAATTTGGGCCAGCCTCAGCAACCTCATGAGACTCTGTCTCAGAATAAAAATAAAAAGGGATGTGGATGCAGTTCAGTGGAAGAGTGCCTCTGGGTTAAATCCCCAGTACTACAAAAAATAAAAATAAAATAAAAAGTTCAGGATGAATTAGACAGGCACAGTGGCACACACCCATAATCCTAGCTACTCAAAAGACCCAGGTAGGAGAATCCCAAGTTCAAAGCCAGCCTGGGCAACTCAGAGAGACCCTGTGTCAAAATAAAACTAAATACGGCTGGAACATAGCTCAGCATGAGAGCACTTGACTAGCATATGCAAGACCCTGAGTCCGATCCTCAGTACCTGCCCACTATCCTATCAAAAAACAAGTTCAGAATTAAATAAAATCAAGTTGACCAGGAATTGTTTTGGACAGGGTCTTGTTATATTGCCCAAACTATTATATTGCCTAAAAACCCTGGGTTCAAGTGATCTCCTACCTAAATCTCTTTGAGTAGCTGGGACTACAGGTATGTGCCACCTGGCCCAGCTGGAATTTTTTGACTAAGAAGTCTACTGGTATGGGATCACAGTGATGTTTCAAAGAGGTATGTGTAAGGCACATGGTAAAAAGATTGTCACTAAAACTCTAACCACTCAGTAAATTTTACCTGGTATACATTACCTTTCCTAAGCAAGAAATTTTTTGAAAATAACTGAATAGTTAAAAAATAAGCAACAAAGAATGGTTTGCCCTTTTTGTTTATAAATGACCACAGCAAGTTAGTGCTTCCTTGGGGTAGAAAAGATAAGGAAAGGAGAATCTTGACCAAAAACAAGGCACCTTCAGGACTTGGAAAGGGCTTCTTAAAAAGATGGAGAAAACTTTTCCATTAGGACAGATACTGCTGGCATACTTAACAGGGCTAAGGAGCTGAGCATTACCTAGGGGCATACCAACAGCAGCAGAGGTGCAAGAAACATCTTCCCATAAAATGTTCTAAAAATATATTGAAAAGGCAGCTGTTATTTAATATTATGATAAGTACTGGAGAAAACGGGGTAAAAACAAGAGTATCATATGAAGAAAGGTAAACAAGGAGCTGTTCTTCAGGACTCACTCCTACTAGTTAAAATCTAGCCCATGTTCCACTTTCTGAGATCCTATAGCTCAAATCCAGGGAAAGGAGAAAGTCTAGAAGACCAACATAAAGAAACTGAGTGTACTGAAAAGCCAAAAAGAAAAAGGATACACCGAGACAGCCCTGAACTAGAGAAAGGAAGAGAATCATAATCCATTTGAAATCCAGGCAAGCAACTGGGCAGATCTTTTCTTCCCAGACTTATTAAAACTCCAGCATTGTAATGGTTCCTACTATCTCCATGAGAGGAGATACTGCAAAATACCCTGAGAGGCCAAGTAGGAGAAAGAACACAAGTAATCTGCAATAAGGTTAAAAAGCCATCCCAGGAAAGGGTTAAAAAGCCTGGACTGGAGAGTCACTGTAGATTGGGATTTCTTTTWAAAAAAAWAAWAATAATATTTATTTTTTAGGTGTAGATGGACACAACATAATGCCTTTATTTTTATGTGGTGCTGAGGATCGAACCCGGGTCCCACCCATGCTAGGCGAGCGCTCTACTGCTGAGCCACAATCCCAGTCCCTAGATTGGGATTTCTTAACCTCACCACTACTGACATTGCAGCTGAATAACTCTGTTGTGGGAGGCTGTCCAGTGAAATGTAGGATGATTAGCAGCTTCCCTGGCTGCTAAACATCCCCCTAGATAACAAGAGCACCCTTATAAGTTGTAATAATCAAAACCTGTGTGCAGACACTGTCAAATTTCTTCTGGGGACAAAAATCATACTCAACCCCTAAAACCACTGCTCCAAATGGCTGCCTGGCTTAAACTCACTCTCTTTGTAAATATCACTCCCAAACCATCTCATCTTCTGAACCAGGAAACAGACAGAAAGAACAGAAGAATTTATAGGAAAATGAATGCTTAACTTTTGAATATGTCAAAATGTGAGATACCAAGTGAAGCTATCCACAAGGCTATTGGCTATATGGAACTAGAACCAAGAAAAATGGTCTTAGCTAGAGAAATAGACTAGAAAAGCATTAGCTATCTTAATACCTTTGAGRAAGGCTTTTGCAAATCTTCAGCCAGCATAAAATCCTCTTAAGAGATGGTGATGATTACGCTACACAAGGTCTGCCTATTGCCTAATTAAACAAGAAGCTCTTGATGGATATAGTCTACTGCAAGGTAATATACCCATGCTCAATTTTTACCTTCATCTGGACAAGCCTGCCATATGTTAAGATCTTCAGAGTAAACTCTCACATATCTTTACTAACTGATAACACTGCAATAATTTCCCCATTAGGTATATGCTCCCTCTTTTGACTGTTTGTTCCCAAATCCACTGTCACATATTCTATCCATTCTGAATAGATATTTGCTCTCTTCTGCTGCAGATACATAATTAGTTAAAATCAGAGTAAATTCTTAACATTAAGAATTACATGCAAGTGACTGGATGTGGTGACACACACCTGTAATCCCAGTTACTAGAGAGGCTGAGACAGAAGGATGGCAAATTCAAGGCTGGCCTGGGCAACTCAGCAAGAACCTGTGATAAAATTAAAAATAAAAATGGGGGATGGAGTTGTAGCTCAGTGGAAGAGCACTTGACTACCATGTGTAAGGCACTGGGTTCAATTCTCAGAACCACATATAATAAATTTTTAAAAAAGGTCCATCAACTAAAAAAAAAAATGGCTAGGGATATATATAGTTCAGTGGTAGGACATGCCTGGTTCAATCTCCAATACCACCAGAAGAAAATAAAAATTACATGCAAGTCAGTTTTCTAACATTATCAGTAAGAAATTCTAAACTAGAAGACTCAGAGATTCTTATCAGATTCCTTAAAAAAAAAAACTAACAGTTTAAATATACTCGGTGCAAGAGCATATCTTCCTGAATGTTTTGGATTAAAAATATTTACTTAAATGTAGTTTTCCAATAAATTAGAAGATACATTTCTACATATGCATATGTTCACTTGTTAAAAGCCTATTTAAAAATGTTTTATGACGAGTTATTTTAAGTAAAAATAGCAGTGAAGAAATAGTTTTTCTAACATAAGACATATAATCTAGTTAACAAAATATAATCAAAGTAAAATAAATCTGAAAAATAGGAAAACTTTGCATACATGTTTAAACTACTTTTCTTGTGCAAAATCCCACTGCATATTCTTTAATTTTTTTAATCAAAAATTTGATAATCAGCTTTAAATTAGCTTTAAAAAGTTTTAATGAGTAAAGGTAAGTTGAAAATGTTTTTAAAACTGTCATTTAAAATATCAGCAAATTTACAGAATTTTCACCCAGCTTACCTCCATAATTATACTATGCCAGACACAGTATCAGTAAAGACAACAGACAGACACAGAATCAGTAGAGAGGTGTAAGTAAAGGATGGTGTCATTTCCTTTTAGATATGATAAAATGGTACAGAGAGAACATAAATCCACCCATATTCCAAAAAGTAAAACTAAGTTTAGCATATTTCTGATCACAAACTAAATTTTTAAAAAGCTGATTTTTAGGATCCACTTTATTTACATAACACTTATTTAAAAATTAAAATGTCAGTAAACGTCTACTTTTCTTTATATGATCTTTAGGCTAAACTTAAATAAAAATCAGATATCATTTTTTAAAGGAAATTATCTTCCCCAACAATTCAATCCTTTCTCCATATAAGAAAATGTAAATTATATCCAACAAATCTTTTAACTTAAAATTACAATACAGAGAAGCATGAGAAGGAAAAGCAGTAAAGTGTGTTTAAAATTGTTCTTTCTTACCAATCCACTGCTGCAGAGCCCAGGAGGAGTTTGAGGCACGAGCAGAGAGCATCTTTTCAACAGTTGGAGGTAGTCTCTTCCAATTAGTAAATTCCAAAGTGAAGATGAGAATGTCATCGCTGACTGAGTCAATCCTACATTAATAAGATGTTAACAAGTCATCAGAGACAAAATACACATAGGCTTCACCTTATGTTGTAGAAACATATACTACAAATCTATGCTTATATCTTAATGAGGAAGGCACAAAAAATAGGGCACAAAAAGAATTCATGTAACTAAAGGTAAGTTTGGTGGATACGAATAATCATCAACAGGTTCCTACTAGAAAGGAAATTGACTGTGTGTGTAGTTGTCCAAGAGATAATAAAAGGAAACTCTATTCTCTACTAGAGTAGAACTTCCCTTCTCATTGGAAACAGTACCAGTATCATAGTGGACTTACCATCATCTCCTCCCAACCATCTTGCCAAATGTAGTTTGGTCATCCTTACACACATCATTTAATAATTCTGAAAGGACAAAGCCCAAGCACTCTCAAGTTATTGCTAAACTGAGTATACAAGAAAGATGGCTTAGTTATACCCAATTTCCAGGAATGTACAGCTATTCTCTAAGAACATTTCTCATTATAGATTCAGACATAAAAGATGTACTAGAATAAGATTTGTCTTTAAGGATTGAAAGAAGTGATTCCATACAAACAGTTCTTCCTTTGTTCTTTCAAAATTATACAGATTCCCTACCAACACAACCAAAAGACAAACAGCTTTCCTCTACCATGCCCTCCCACCATGATTCTCTGCCTCTCCTAAGACCCAAAACAATTGAGTCAGCCAACCATGGATTGAAACCATGAGCCCAAAAAAGGCTTTTCCTCCTCTAAGTTGTTTTGTGTCAAGTTTTTTGGTCACAGTAAAGAAAAGCTGACTAACACAGGACCTCTAGTAATTAATACAAAAACAGAAAATCTTCCCAAGGTAAATTGTTTGGGAGACATTACAGTAACAACTGAAGAAGGGAAAGACGGAGAAGAAAAAACAGAAACTATATAATACTCTAAACTTGTCATTTCAAACACAACTTATTTTTAGTAATTTAGAATCAAAGTATCCCTGAAATGACTGATTAGATTATGAGAATTATTAAACTGTTGATTCTCAGATATGCAAATATACAATAAATGTAAGACAAATGCCTTGGGAAAAGATTTTACTTCTTCTCAGCTCTCAGTGAAATCACAACTTATCAGGAATACTGAGAATAAATAAAAGGATAAAATATATTCAAAGACAAACAATTTCCTTGGCATTCTTGGAGCACCATACCAAAGGTTATTTGGCTCTGGTTCCTTATTTCTTTTTTAATGGTTTCATTTTTCTGCTTTAATGTGCTTTCAGACTCACTGTGACCCAACACAAAATCATTTTATTCAGTTATCAGAACACACATGAGAAGTAAATCTGTTTGCACAGCTTTAGTTAATATAATGGTGAGTTTATTTTACCAACACTGATAATGCCACTAAAATGTATTGTTATTGCACTACATTGACCAATACATTGTACAAAGCAGTTGTATGAGGATAAACGAGTGACAGTTAATCAACAAAATGCACAGATGACATTTGCTTTCTATTATTCTCCCATTACTTTCGGGGGGGGGGGGACTTAATTCTTGCTTTAAAGTTGATAAAAATATTTCTACTTCGCAGATTATACTGTGACAGGCAATTATTCAGTCAGATGCATTTTGAAGACTGTTTAAGACAAGGGATACCTAGGAAAGATATTTATAATTTACATGACAGGCTTGCATGCAATATAAATAAGAAACAACCAAAATCTACTTTAACAACATACTGGAATTTTTATGGGAGAATTTTTCTTATAACAGCTCTTTGAGTGTAAATTTGATCAAAGAAAGCAAAACATTTATCATATTCAGTGTAAACACTGGCTTTATCTATTAAATAAAAGATCAGTGAACAAAAATTTGACCATATTATTTTCATTTCTAAAGTGAAATTTTCCATTGTATTTTTTCTAATGAATATAGTGACTAAAGTTAGTCTTTAGTAGCAAAATATATGCAATTGGCTTTCTCAATTCAGACAGCTGAAAGTTTTACAACTTACTTTAAAATAATTTGTAGCTTATTGGTTCCTAACTCTCTGCATTCCAACATATTCAATAAATACAGCTATACAACCAGTGGTTTACAACCACAAAAATTCTCAACTATTTACATTTAGGGTGGGGAAGCTGTATCAGAACTAGGGAAATGAGAATATACTTTACAAAACCCTCTAAGAGAATAAAGCTAAACAGTCCCTCTGCATACAGGCAGTCACAGTTTATCTGATTGGCTGGGCAAAGACACAGGGTTTAATTCTCTTTTCCTATGTGGGTTTTCATAACTTAGGAGCAGAAAGGACCAAGAAAAATTGGCACAAATCCTCTAGGTTTGGCAAAGAATAAAAAAACTTATAATCAGCGATAATACTACTTCATTGCTGTGGATTCGTAAGGCTAAGGTAGCACAGCATAGTGGTTAAGAACACAGATATGTATGAGCCACACTGTAGGAGTCTGAGTTCAAATCTAACTCAAAACTCCAGTGCTAATTTGTGAGCTTGAGCAAGAATGTTGAACACTCTGCCTCAATTTCCTCCTCTGTAAAATAAAGATAACAATAGCACCTACTCCCTTGTATTATACATGAACTAACAGGAGTACAGAAACTTAAAATAATGCTTACTGGGTGTCAGGCAGTATCCTTAGTTTTGATTAGATAAATAAATAAATAAAAACCAGAAAGGGCATGAAGGTTGAAAGTACTGGGCAGGTCACATGGTGTCAGTTAATAGCTCTGAAACAGTTCCTTTGAAATTAAAAGCAACTTTCTGGTAACAGTTTTTCCTCCATGCCTTAATTCCTCCTGCTGAGAAAAGATGCCAAGGAGGCTGAAACTGGGGTTCTCTAGCTAAGTCTACCTATGTGTAATTTTTGCCTTTTGTTCCACTGTACCACCTTTTTCTCTTATAAAATCTTTCTAGGCCTCTGAGCCCCCTGAAGATGAAGATTTAAAACATAAAGGTCTCTATCTACCTAAAAGCTGGCTTTGATAAACCCCTTTTCTTCACCCACCTGTTTCCCAAGTTTCTAGTGGAGTGACAAGCAGTAGAGCTTTTCCCCGGAGTTATAGCTTCAGTAGAAAAACACAGTAAATATGACTGATAAGAAATTGGATGCCTTGGAAGCACTTCGTGGGGTAAAAGATGAAGGGATCAGACTGTCTGGACTGACCACAGCTACCCCACGTGTTCAGTTCAATTTACAGCACTGTCTGGGAGTGAATCCTAAAATGGTGAGGGGCAACTGCAGCTATCTGTCCAGAGGCCAAAACCAATTGTGAAATTCAGTTAAGAATACTTAAATAACTTTCTTAATAACTAGCTGTGTCCTTAATAACACATGTGTGCATGTAAGGGGGAGCTATTAAGACAAATAGATAAGTATGAAGTTCTACTCAGCCATAAAAAAGTATGAAATTATAACATGCCAATAAATGGATGAAAATGGAGAACATGATGCTAAGTGAAAGTAGCCAAACTCAAAAACTCAAAAGCTGAATGTTTTCTCTCATATATAGAAGACTGAGTAAAAGAAATGAAAGGGGGAGGGAAGGATAGGTATCATAAAGATAGAGGAAAGATCAGTAACATAGGAGGAGGAGACCAAGAGRCAAAGTGACGGGACAGGAAAGGCAAAGCAATGCAAAATTAATTCTTTTTTTTWAATTTTTTTTTTAGTTGTAGATGAACACATATCTTGATTTTATTTGTTTATTTTTATGTGGTGCTGAGAACCCAGGGCCTCACATGTACTAGGAGAGTGCTCTACTGCTAAGCTACAACCCCAGCCCCGTAAAATTAATTTTTAAAAAATCATGTTACATGCATGTATAATATACCACAGGGAATTTCACCTTTATATATAAGTGAAAAGAAGCAAATATATATAAATAAATAGGTTAGCAAAAGGAAGTCTAGCAGGGGAAGGAAAACAGGAGGGAAGGAAGGACAGAAGGGGGACAGAGGGACTAATGAACTGAAACTGAATTCCACACATGTATGAGTTTGCTGGGATGAACCCAATTACTGCATAACTATAAAGCTCTAATAAAATAAAAAATCAGAAATACGTCAGTAACTCAGCCGTAAGTTTCAATTATCTTAAAAAAAAAGTGAAAGCTTTGCAAAAAGTAATATATTAGGAAAGGTATAAAAGGAATAGCAACCATGAGCATTTGACAAACAACTATTTATTTATTAAACAGCTGATTGGAAAAAAATACAACTAAGGGGTTGAAACTGTTATAAACTATAAACAAAAGTTAAGGTGAGATCAGAACATTTATCTCAACTTTGCTCTTACTTCTGTATGCCCCAAACCATCTAACAGAAAGTACTTTTTTCCTCACAAATCACATGTCTGAAATCAATAGTGTCAGAAAGATAACAGTCCCATTAGTGAAAATTTTTGAATTCTATGGCAAACACATTAAAAACGTGAGATACTGGTATACAGCCAAATACAGACCTAATCTTCATATAAAGAAGGCGGCACTAGGAGGAAGGTGGTGTTCACATAAATACAAATTAATCTCACCAGCAATGGCAACAGGCACTATATGCCTAAACTCTCAAAGAAAGCCTCTTTGAAGAGGGAAAAAGCTGAAATGTCTCAGCATTTGTCTAAATTTTACTTTAGTGAATGCTAGTTTTCAAAGTACAAAATGAAAACTAGTAGATGTTCTACTGAAATTCTACAAAATAATGTCTTCTATTTCCCTGGAGACTTCCATTCTACTTTTTCACTTGACTTGAATATCAGGAAAGGGTCCTCTCACTGAAAAAATTACGTGTCTCAGGTCGTTAACAATTTCTGCAAAGGCTGGAGGCCTGCACAAATAGTCTTCCTCTTCTTGCCCAACAAAAATCCTGATTCAGCATTAATAATAATCCCTCATAGAGGACTGCCTACTACAAAACTACATCAAGTAAACACATTATATCCTCAGACACTTCAGAAATCATTATTTTAATAAGGGAGAAAAATTTCAAAATGACAAGATGCTGTAGGGCAGGAGTATCCAATATAGTTTGGTGAAAGATAACAGAATCTTCAAAGCAGCTACAATCATTCCTTTTTATGTCACAGGCATTTTAAGAGAGGCATAAGGGATAGCCAGAAGCAGAAGAAATATCCCTCTCACTGGCATCTATCTCTTTCTACCCACTTCCACCAGTCACCTTTTCTAGGCCTCTATGCTTAATTTCACTATTTGCAGCTCCCAACTCCTTCCTTCATTTTAACCCTATCATGACAGTCAAAACTCATAAACATATATACACTCCCTCTTCCAAACCCAGAGATCTCAAGAAACTGGGGAAACTTAATGGTAGCTTAGTTATTTAAATAAGAATTAAGGCCCACTAACATAGGATTTCTTACCAAGAACTGCTGAGTAGAGTCAATGGGTCAAATCCAGCAAGCAGGAGATGTGGCAACCATTCCTTGTATTTTATCTGTGCATTAATTGCATGATTTATAAATTCAGATATATGGTTCCATGGTGCCAACAGGCAACCTTTCTTCAAAAAGTAGCGAAACACTGAAAACTTCTCATACTTCAGGCAGTATGCCAAATGAAGTTCATTTAGCTGGGCTCCATATTTCAAAAGAATATTCACAATTCCAAAGAATTCACAGCTTCACCACCAAAAAAAAAAAAAAATTAAAAGTCAGGCTCTTACATAACAAATAATAATTCTTAATTTTTTAAAATTTATATATGACAGCAAAATGCATTACAATTCTTATTACATACATAAAGCACAATTTTTCATATCTCTGGTTGTATACATAATATATTCACATCAATTCATTTCTTACCTGTACTTTGGATAATAATAATAATTACTATTATTATTAAAAACTGTTAATAATATTATAGCTGTTGAAGAAGAATGGTAGCTGGATACAAGATGGTTTTTATATATCTAGTGAACTGAGATTAGGTGATGGGAACTCTTTTTCAACCCTCTTGTGTTGTTTGTAATTTTCAACTGTGAGCAAGTACTATTCTTATAATTTAAAACATTTGTCTTCAATAAATACTTGATCTAGGAAAATACCATTGACAAAATCATTCTCAATTATAATATTTTTGCACAATTAAGAATCTCTACTACAACACACTTGCTAAACAAAATCAATAAACAATTCTATCTGTCCATGAAGAGTAATGATTTATTCTGGGAATCTCCAAAATATCATTTTCTTTAGCAATAGCCTTGGCCAACCAAACACCTGATACTTTTAGATTTATAATGGAGGAAAAACATCATACAGAAAATTTTTTTTAAATGAACAAAAATTTAACTTAGAGCTTTACATTTTAAAATTAATCTTCCTTTTCGAGCATTTTTATAGAAAAAAGGTTTCATATTATACCTATTAAATTGGTTACTCTGAAAAAACTTATCAAAAATTTTTTTATTATCCAATAATGATAGGTTATGATAAAACTGACTGAAAATGATGTAATTCTTATGAGAGCAAAGGGGAAGAGKATTAAAACAAGTATCATTACAAAGAATAAGGAGCATCAACTCTGAAGCCAGACACTGAGTAAATTACTTAGCCTTTCTGGAACAAAGAACTGGCACTATGTAAACATTTGTAAACTAAATAAATATTAAGTAAAATATCATCTAAAATAAAATATATCTAAACATATTTTTAGCTGGGCACTGTAGCTCATGCCTGTAATCCCAGCAGCTCAGGAGGCTGAGGCAGGAGGATCTTAAGTTCAAAGCCAGCCTCAGCAGAAGTTAGGTACTAAGCAATTCAGTGAGATCTTGTCTCTAAATAAATACAAAATAGAGCTGTGGATGTGGCTACTGAGTTCAATCCCCACTATGGAAAAAAAAAAACATATATACATATATGAATGTGTGTGTTTATATATATATAAACACAAAAATGTAAGTAAGTGTTAAAATGTTTAGACTTCTTTTTATTCGGCAATGTAATCCTTGGGAATTTAGTAAAGAGATAAAATTCAAAAGAAATGATAACCCATTTCTACAAAATTGTTAACCACAGTATTATCTACAAAATACTTTAAAAAAGAAATGACAATAACAGAAAAACAAGTATTATACATATTATACTGTTATCAAAAACTGCAGTTAAGATGGTTGTATAATGGAGTTTTATTCAGACATTAAAAAAATGAAATTATGTCATCTGCAGGAAATGAATGGAACTTGATACCATTATGTTAAGTAAAATTAGCCAAACTTAGAAAGTCAAGGGTCTCCTGTTTCTCTCATATGTGGAAAATAGAAAGGTGGCCCAGGGAGGTGAGAGGATCCCTGAAAATTTAAGGGAGATAAGCAAAGTAGAGGAAAGGGGACAAGGTAAGGGAGGAAGAAGAAAAAGAGGAAATAGTGGGGAAGGACAAATTACATTTTTATATGTGTGCATATATGGGTATATAAAGACAAATCCCACCATTACGTACAACTATAATGCACCAATAAAAAATATGGAAAAAGATGGTTGTATAACAACATTTTAAAAAATATTTATGATATAATTTTAACTGTAATTAACTTAACAAACATGTTCACTATACAGACAAATTGAAAGAAGATAGCCAAGAATAAAATTATTCTTTTTTAAAACTAAAAATTTTAAAGAGCTGTAAATTTAAAAAGAAATACATCAAAATCATAGTATTATAGAATCAAAACAAACAAGAGTTTCAAGTTTAGTTAAAACAAATATAAAATGTCTAAACCCATAGTCAAAAGAGACCAACTACTTCTAAGGACCTATATATAAAACTTCATATGTTTTAAGCAGTTAAGCTACTATATGTGGATGTAAGAATGTTTTCTACCTATGTATATCTTTTTTTAAAATTGATTTTAGTTTTTAAATACGTGACAGTGGAATGCATTACAATTCTTATTACACATAATACCACAATCTTTCATATCTCTGTTTGTATATAAAGTATGTTGACACCCAATTTGCATCTTCATACATATACTTTGGATAATGATGTCCATCACATTCCACCATCCTTGCTAATCCCCAGCCCCCTCCCTTTCCCTCCCACCCCTCTTCCCTATCTAGAATTCTTGATTCCTCCCATGCTCTCCCATATATCTTTATAAATCTATCTTATTTATTCTTCAATTTGTGCTTCTTTGATTAAAAATCGAACAGTATTCTCTTTACTGTTAATCATTTGTATAGTAATTAGAAAGGAAAATCTAAAATTCTATAATTTTTTCATAAAATTAATAACTTTGTTGCTGTCTACTATATTTCTATTTGTTCCTGATAGGAAATCTGCCATCATTCATATCATTGTTCCTGAAATCAACCCTATACGTATGCTTTTTTCCTCTGGCTGCTTTGAGATATACTGAGAATTTGTTGCCAGCAGTCTTACACCACAGGAAATCCTGAAGGATAGTTCTAAATAGTTATCACCAATTTGTCTCAAACACTTTGACCTCATTTAACTAGGCTCTCATTATTTTGCCTACAATTATTACATGCTGATTCCACTTACAGAAGAGGCAAACTACACACAAACTGTTGAGTACATTCCAATAATTATGAAGGGAAACTGCACAAAAAGCTTCAGATACTACTGAGTCATTCTAAATATGATACACAATTCTMAAGAAACCTGGCAATTTTCCAGTCCTATTATTGGTATGTGCAATTTAGGAACTGGTTGAATTTTTCCCTCAAGCATTTGAAACCATCAATAACCTAACCGTATATACTTAGAAGTTAAAAATCCAATGTGGAAGGCATATTTTTGCTATAGAACTCAAGTACATAGTATTTCTATCTTCTAAAACCACCTTATTAGAGAAAATGCTACAGATAAGTACTGTAACCATATTTTATTTAGCAAAAATTACAAAACAAAAAAGATTTCTTATTAAAATTTCAGTACAGCACCTAGACATGGGTTCATGCTAAGAAAAATTTAAGGTCAAGGACAAAAGATAAATCATCCATCTCTAAGTATGAGAGGAACATGTATGCACGTAATTTCTTATATTAACAAACTTAACGGGGTATTTATTCTGTCTCAGGCACTACATTAAATGGGTTACAAGCAAGATTTGACTGAATCCTATAACCCTAAGAAGTAAGCCCTATTATCATTATCTCCATTCTAAATGAAAAAACTGAAGCTTAGTTACAAAGCCAATAATTGAYAGAACTAGGATAATAATATCAAACCAAAATCTAATAGTGAATAGGATACAGCAAATTCCTGAAATCTCTCTCCTCTATTATGAAAACTTRACACTTAATGAAATTGAGAAAAATTTTGAGACGGTCTAGACCTGTGTTTCCCAAACTATGTTGCATGGAACTTTAGTCCTTGAAAATAATCCATTATGAMAAAAGATTCTTTAATGAAAAAATTGGAGAAATCTTATCCAGTATACAGTGAGTCAAGAAAAGAGAGAAAAATAGGATGAACTTATTTTTAAGCAGAATGTTAAGTTACATTTTCAAATTATATGCTCTAGGATTTTCTTCAACCTCCATACACTTTTTAGAAATACCTTTAAAATTAAAGCAATCATTAATCTGAAAAAAAGAATAATAAATGGAATATAAAATACCTACAAAGTCTATTAAACACAGGAGAAGTAGTATATTTATTATAAATGTGAGTATATCCTTCACTTCAGGATTCTAAAAATCTTTGTAGATTCATTGCTCTCTAAAGAATTCACAAAGCATGCTGTAATAACAAAAATTATCAGAAGCCCTCCAGAAAAGGAACTATTAATATAATTTAACTCTGTTTTCCGAACCTATTTAACTACAGAATTACTTACATCCCATGTAGTATCTATTAATAATCTACAGAATAAGGATTCTACAAAATATGTTTTGGAAAACAGCCCTAAACTTCTTTCAAACACTGTAGTCATGCTGCCTTGTTTTAGAAAGGACAAGAGCATAATTATAAAACCTTTAAAACTGGCGTGGTGTTACAATATAGACCTTTTTCCAAGAAAACTACTATTTATAAGGAGAATAATAACTGTGAAATAAACTGGAGAATCACAGAGTTTTGTCAGCATGCCCTGAGGTTCTGGGAAGGTTATCCAGTATGTGGGCATGCTCTAGAAATGCAAGAAACTTCAGTGTTCTATAAGACCTTGATTATTACATATCAYCAGGTATTATAATAAATTCTTAAGCTTAGGTAACCTTTAGTCAAAATATAAATTATATGGAAATACCTCTGTATTTTTCTTAACACTTCCAACAAATTCTCTCTCCAACCCTGAAAGCAAATTGGAGAAATTCTCTATATCACCTAGCAGGAAATAAAGAGTCAACACTGTTTAACAAAAACATCAAGAATTAATTCTGACACACACAGAGTTAGCTCATTAGAGAAACAGTGAACATCATCAGATTCTAAGAGGAGATATTAAAACACTAAAAAGCAGTCTAGATCTTATTTGAGGGCATATACATTTTCAACCACTCCACTCTCTGAAGTTCAAAAACGTGGAGAAAAACAGTATCTATGCAAAAGCACAGTAAGAGAAAATTCATAATGAAACTATTTATTTTATTTTTTAAATATTTGTTTTAATTGTAGGTGGACACATAACCTTTATTTTATTTTTATGTGGTGC